CCTACATACCATGGATATAATGATGATTTATTTCTTGTTTTGTTTTGTTTTTTTTTCTGTGGAAAACATTTAAGCTGAACAAAAACAAAAACTAGAAAAGAAGAAAATAAATGAATGATAAATTGACTGATTTGTAGTCTTTATTAAAATTTTCTTTTTCGGTTTTTGTTTTGTTTTTTGTTTTTTTTCGGTTTTTTTCACTTGAAGTGAAAATGAAAATAAACAAACCGAGAAAATCAAACAAATCAAATGGAAAATTTTTTCTTTTTTTCAAAAAAAAAATCCAATTCAAAAGTTTTTTCTCACACTTCTTATTCACTCACTTTGGTTATATTTACAATTCTTGTGTGAAAAGTATTTGGGATTCTTCTCTCTCTCACTCACTAAGCATCAGACTTTCAACACTTTTTTCTCTCTCTCTCTCTCTCTTTACATTCCATATTTAAGAATTTCTGGGTTTTTTCCCCTTGCCCCCCTCTTTATGAATATTATCATCATTTTGAATGTCAGTCCATTTTATGAATGAAAAAAAATTATAGGAAACTTTCAACCAAACCAAACCCACACGCACACAAACATAATCGACAGTCATGAATCATATTTGAATATATAAAGAAAAAAAGAAAGAAGAAGATGAAGAAAGTTTTATATTTGTTTTAACTTTATTTTTACATGTTTGAATCGTTGGTCGGTCGGTCGGTTTTTTGTATTTTTCTTGGCACATCTTACTTAGAGGCCGGAGATGAAATTGTACGAGGAATTTTCTTTTTTTTTTGGACTTTTTTTTTCTCTCTCTCATCGGGTAGTTTCTTTCAACTGGATTCTTGTTGTTGTTGTTGTTGTTGTTGTTAAGGTTTAAATTTTCATCATGTATGTCTCATCCAATACATGAGTTTTCGGATTGAAAAAAAAAAGATTGCTGACTTTCTTCATTCTTATTACATAAAAATATTATAACTTGATTAGAGAATATTGAAAAAGCAGAACTAAGGGAATTTCATTTCATTTCTTAAATGCTGTGTACAGCCAGTCAAGATGATGATGATGATGA